TTTCCCATTCAAACATTTTGAAAAATTACGAGAGGCTTGATCGCTTCAGGAGGGGGGTATATAGGAAACCACCTTGGTGTAGTTGTTTTAGTATTTGAGCTCAATTTGGTCATCTCCCTCTTATCTGAAAGCGAGATATGAGGTGTATATAGTTATGAAAAGTATTAAATCTAATAGTTGTATACTAGTAGGAATGAAATTATGTAACATAATTATACAAGTCTAATTGCATGATCTTTTCCATTTTAGTAAAATTGATATTAAATAACCTAATTAGATGAGTTCTAATTACATAATATTTTATATGTTAGAAATATTCTTAATTTGTGTGTCATAATCCTCTTAAATTTAGTCATTTTTTCTCTCCCACATGTTGATGGTAGAATAACCCCTCCTCATGGATGTAAGCGGACTTGTGCCAAATACATAAATCACATCATATCTAATTGCTTGCTTGTTGTGATTTTTGTTTTCCACATTATTTTACACAACATTACTTGCTTCTAAAAAGTTCAGGATTTGTGAAAACTAAGGCTAAAAATAGACACAAATTTTAAACAAAAAAGTAATATAAAAATAGAGCCCACCAAAATACATATTTGCTTTGATAAACGGTGGAGATCGGATATCGTATGCATTTCTGCATATAGTGTCTGTAGGGATTAATTTTTCCCAAAAAGAACATGTAAAGACAATGAAAAATTTGAGAAATTTATCCTATATATGAAAAAGTGGAAAAAATGTAATCCACATTTTCATGCATAAATAAGTTAGGGTACTTGTGTAAAAATCAAAATTTTAGGAGTGAGATAAGTAAATGTATAATAATTGGGTGCTCTATATGTAAATTTCCGTCATTTATTACATTGACATCTTAAAATACTCAAGCACCCACCTAAAATTATAGAAAAGGAAGAAATACATACATACCACTTAACTCCTATGTATTTATATATCTAACCCTAAACTTCAACTTTTACATATACATTTTTAAATTAAAAGGTGATATTTCTATGTGACATGAAAGATTTGGGTGCTACAAAATCAAACATTTTTAAATGAAAAGGTGATAATTTTATGTGACATGAAAGATTTGGGTGCTACAAAATCAAAAAGTCATGTTTAGGTGTTTGATACGTAAATACATAAGAATTGGTTGGTATATATGTAAATATAAATATGCATAGAAAATTATAATTTTTTTGAAGATGTGGGCAACTAATGACAACTTGCACGTGAAGCCAAGTTAATACTAACCCAATAGGAAGGTAAGCCTAATTTGTCGAATTTAGATTAGTTTAAATTTAAGTTTTGACTTAGAAATTTCAAAAAAAAATTATAGCCTTTTAAAATTATGTTAATAAATATATAAATATTATTGTTGTTATTATTTAAATGAAGCCTTTAACCTTTTAAGATAAAATAATAATAATAATGTGATATTTATGTACATTCCAATAAATTCTTATGTATTTACATATCTAACAACTAAATTGACCTGGTTCGAATCCCTAGTGGCACAATGTTGGCTGAAGTTTGGTGGTACTAGAATTATTTGCATTCTGGGTCGCTCCCAGACCTAGCAGGTGTTGAGCCCATAGGGTGGGTCGGGGCCTCACGCTATGGGTTCACGGTTTCATTGTATATATATACTACCGAGACTCTTTAGTCGACAGTGTTTGTAAGACCCCTGAGTTCACGGGTTGGATACTGGTTCACCGCACCTATGAATAAAAGTTGTATTTTATTTCTTAAAGTAAAAAAATTATGATAATTTTAATGTGATTTGTATAGACAATTTGAGTGAGAGATGTAAAAGACAAAATTTGGGCGTCATAGGAATTGAGGTATGGAAGTAAACGCCAGTTTGAGACCTCCATGGGGACGTGTGATCACATAAACGCGTGTCAAAAGTAGGATGAAATGGTTTACTATGAAATATGAGGACATAATTGTAATATATTTTATTGATGAAATGGCCAATTTATGAAATATGTGGACACAATTGTAATGTATTTTATTTATACAATCCATGTTTCCGAGTAATTATGACCAAAGTTGTTTTGAATGAGACAATCAAAACAAATCTTATCTTAAGAAAATTATAAATATATATTTTTTTAAGGACTTGTCCTATAATGAAGAGTTCATACAAAGCAAAAAAATAAAATAATTTTTTTTATCATTAAAAAAAATGCAAATTATAAATACAAAAGGTTATAGAATTATGTAAATGTGTAATGCAAAATGACTCATTAATTTGGGTTCACTTTTAAATTTTATTAAGAGTTTTTTTTGTTTTGTTTTGTTTTTGAGAGAAACAATATAACTCATTAATTTAGGTTTTTCGTGAGATAATATATATTATACGCTACTTGGTCGACAAGTATATTGTGCATCGACCGGTCATATATCATATAATAAGCATAAATTATAGAGGATAAATGCTCGGTTCAAATCTCCACCATACACCTATCATGAGTCTTTCATTGTAACTAGATACCTATCACTTCTTCAATATTTTCTTTCATTCCTCTAATGAAAGCAGTGGCAGACCCAGGTAAGGTCCAAGGGGGGCAGTTGTCCACCCCCCCCCCCCCCCGAAATCCAGATTTTTACTTATATGATTGGGTAATTTGGTCATTTACCTCTCCTGAAATATCATTTTGCTCTTCATTGTCCTAGACTCTCCCACATTTTCTTCTATAAAAGTTAATTCATCAAAAATTTTGATGAATAATTTTATATTATTCATTAAAAAACTGACCAATTAATATAATCTTTTTTTTTTGTTTAATGATTGATAGCTTTAAAGGAGAAGCAAAGTTCTATTTAATTATTTTAAAAAGAGAGATATTACCTAAGAGCTTAGCAAATCATTAGCATACACGTGTATGTTTCAAAACAACATTAATAATTTTAGATGTTGCACATTATTTATATGTAGATGTAATTACACTTATTTTCTTATGCAAATTAAATTTGTCAAAGGATTTACAATTTTACCATAAATTGAATGGTGTGGCAGCATCCTCTTCAAAATTGACTCATTATTTCATGAGTCATTGGCGGCTTATTACTTTGAATGGAGAAGGAAGCTTCTATTTATATTTTCTAAATGTGAAATAATATAAAAAATTCATTAGTAGCACACCTTTATTCTTTGATAAAATTATTAATGATTTAAGGAAAAAGCTTTTTAATGCATATTTTAATGAATTATTGGGGGAACAAAATATGGGATTTTATGCCATTTAGTGTAATTATCTACTTTTTTTTTATGTTAACAAAAATGTAAATGCTAAATTACTCTAATTAAAAGGTAGTTCTATGAATTGAGGTTTAGTAAAATATTGTCTAATTGGTTCATAACTTAATTTGGCTGAGGGGTCTTAGCGAGCCTCCAACCAATCCTAATGTGCCTAATAAATCGAGTATTGTCTCTTTAAGACCAATCGTGCTAGAGTGGATTCAAACACCTGACTTGAGGGGCCTTACACCGAGGATGCCAACCAACAGGCTGAGGTACGGGACACAATCTTATTGAATCATAGAGGTATTTAAGTGGATTGATATGATTGTATCTTGATTTATGAATTTTGATATAAAATCTCAACCATCCAATCACCATAAAAATGTTTTGAGTATAATAAATCTTGTACGACATATATTTTGTATGATGTGTGATATCCCAATACTCAAAATAAGTTACATAAAATTAATTATTGAATCATTATAATTAAGAATCATAAAAATTTTCTTTTAAAAGTTATAGTTTGTGCAACATATAACCACATAAATTTTGGTCCTTTTTTAAGCATAGTTGTCGTAAGCTAAAGCATAAATATTTTCTATTGAGTTGATTATATAACTCACAACAAGAAAAAACACTATAATCGATGACAAAACCGACGGCTTAAATTTTTGCATGTAACAAAAAGTCTTATTATCTAACAACTTTATGACGGCTCTTGTGTTGAGTTATTTTCGATAGTATATCAATAGAGCATATAATCTCTTATGAATTATAAATTAATTTATGATAGTTTTTATTATAACTGACACATTAATTGCAACAAAAACTCTATAAATAGAGTCACATCCCTCTCATGAGGAAGGGAGAGTTTGAGACTTGAGGAAGAGTTTAAGGCTTTGAGAAAAATCTAAAGTCTAGCATCACTCCTGCCGTCGTCAACCATCGCCGACCGCCATCAAGCATTCATCAATAACGATGCACCACAATCTCAAAATCAAAATATTTATCTCAAATTATTTAAGTCACATTTATACCTCACAACAAAACGAATAAATACCTAAATTATCCTTTTAATATTACACCTAACATATGCCTTCAAACTATTTTTAGACAGGCTCAACCTCGGCTCACTAGAGCACATGACGAACAACACAAACAAATAATATGGTCATGCCATCATTTTTCCCTAGAAATGCTCATCATCTCCCTGCAATCCAAATAATGATAATTAAAAAAATTTAAAAAAATAATAATCAAATTCTTAATATATTTAAAAGCGAGTAAAAAATAAATTAATGATAATCAATAATAATTTATTAAAGATGGAACCTTCGTACCTATTGTATCAAGATTATTTTTATTTATTTCTTTTCATATTTAACCTCAAATCGAAAATTTAATATAGGTAGCCGTGTATTTTACCGGGGAGCGGACGTGAAGGGGTGACGAGTGTGCAATTTAGACCATAGTCCCCGCCCACCAAACTAGATGACTAAAAAAATTAGGTTTTTACGTACGTACCACCCAATTCCTATTTAATTACATATCTAACACCAAAATTTAATTTTTTTTCATTAAAAGCATCCAATCTTACATATCAGAGTAGAAAAATATTTCCTTTTTATGCATGATAACCTATATATATGTAAATATTTTGGAATTTAGTGGTATGTATGTAAAAATTTCATTTTTTTTTTTAATTTATGTGTTGAGGAGGACAAAATCTGTGCGGGTTGGGGATTCGCCGACGCCGGCGGCTACTGAGGGAGCAGCGCTATATATAAGGAACGAATTGGGAAAAAAAAATCCGTCTTGGGCCCTCCTCTCAAGCCTTTAAGCCTCGTTTTCATACTTTCTAAATATATCCATTGGGGTATCTGGCTGTTCTTCTTCTCCGCCTTTCCTTTTTCTGTGATCTTGTTATCTTCGGCTGTATTTCTTGGACTAATTTCATCCCCGGCTGTGAGGAACACGTTAAAGGTTAGATTTTTAATCCTTTTTCTATGGGGTTTTTAGCTTTTTTTGGTTTATTTCCATGAATAAGGCGGAGACTTGATGTGCTATTCGTAAATGATGGCCGTCAATGATGGCAACAATAATGATTTATTTTCTATGTTAATTGAATAAGATATTTTTTTGGCTTCCTGATTTGTATTCTCTTTTCTGGGTTTTGCGCTTGGCCTGTTAAAGCTGCTTCGCCCTTGAAGGATTGAATTGATTTCTCTGTGAAAGAAGGGCTTAAGAGGTATCGCGGCTGGCGACTTTCTGTTCTGAGATTTTGTTTTTTAGTCTTTTCTTCTTTGTTCTTGTGCTAAATAATGACCTCTTCTGTGGGAAAAGGTGCGGTTTTTTAGTCTGTTGGGGGCAATGGAGAACGAGAGCTGTTCATGGGTGAGGAGGGCAAAGTTCGCACCAAACACTTACATCCGTTCCGGTTCTTTTAAATTCCCATCCATCGGATGGGATGAACAATCTTACAGAATCCTAGATCTGAAGAAAGAAATTATGAGCTCCGAATCAGTGCCAATGGAGTCTGTTTCAGGCTCCACGAATGCAGCTTTTTTGCCTGGTGGTTCTGCTAGAAAAACAGATGGGAAATCAGGGAGAAAGATGGAGGATTTCAGTCTTGTTTCTTCAGATTCAGTTTCTACCAAATCCTCGCTGCAACATGGTGGCAGTGAGTCTTCTTCATCATCGATAAAGGATTCAGATTTACAATCCGTTGAGTTCTCCTTCCATCCCAATCTAACCACAACATCAGAAACAATGAAATTGTATTCTTATGCAGTCTGGCTTGCTTACAGTAAGAAGAAATTCGATCAAATGAAACGAAAATCCAAACCCAAGCAGAGATGTGTATCCCCACTACCAACCACCACTCTTTCTGATGTCTTTAAAGAGGCTAAATCCAATTCCAAGAGGTTCTCCACACCACCCCCTTACAGAAATAAACCACACAAGAATATCTTAGGAAAGACCAGCACTTGTAATGAATTGAACCCTCTCCAAAAATTTCGTTTTGTGAAGGGCATTACCAAGTTGAGGGCAAAGAAGGAGACACCATGGACGAGGTGTTTAGATAATGGGGGAGTTAAGGTGACCGCAGTAGAGACCACAAAGAGCTGGATTGTAAATCTTTCCGAGCTGTACTTCGGAGCTCGATTCGCCAGTGGAGCTCATAGTAGACTTTATCATGGCATGTATAAGAATCAGCCCGTTGCTGTTAAGATTATTCGATTGCCCGACGACGATGAAAGCGGATTGATGGTGGCGCGCTTGCAAAAGCAATTCACGAGAGAGGCGACCTAGCATCACTCCTGCCGTCGCC